AGTGAACCTTCCCTCATTGAAAAAAAATCCAATCCCTTCACCAGTGACTAAGCAAACCAATCCTCTGGCTTCATGCATGTAAAATACTCCCAGGAATCAAGCAGGGTCAGCTGAGCTCTCAGGAGAACCAGGCGGCTTTCTGCACACAAGTTTGCACCCAGAGGAGATCTTAATACCTACACATTAGCCTGGCTTAGGACATAAGCGGCCATAATGCTGCTTTTGTTCAAGGTCTGCACTCTCTAGCTGAAGCTGATCACTCCTGGCAACATTCGCTGCAACTCACTGCTTCGTTAGGGCAACACTCCACCATGGTGCTTGTTGATATTTTGAAATGAAGGAGGCACTATTTTAAGTGAATCAGGACCACTGAGACCTATACTTCTCAAATCCTCTACTCAAAGTCCCCTGCAACTTTAAGAGAGCCCCTGACAACCCAGCAAACAAACAGAGCTTTCTTTGTCACTTAGTCCTCATCACCAAGACAAAGAGGAATAGCCCATTCACATACACACAAATAACCAAGCAGGAAAGCACAAATGGGGCCATGTCACCAGCTTCCCTCCATTTCCAGGATAAGCAACACCAAACAGGGAGGCTGGCTCAACTCTCCCCCCACAGCATAGCCTTCAGCTATCCTGCCAGAGAACAGCTGTAAGCACACGCATCAGAAGTTTGTCCCCTAATCAAAGCTAGATGAGGAACAGGTAAGTAGCATTAAAATCATCTGCCCCAGTGCAAAACTAATTATGTTCCACAAGTCCTCTTTCAAGACCAACAACCCAGAGGATCTTTGGAATGGAAAAGACACAGAACTCCTATGTTAACACTTCCCCCTCCATTTGAAATGGGTTAACAGTAAAAGATAAGATATAAACAATATAAATTGTATTACTGCAATAGAATCAGTGCAAGAAAAATATAGAATTGAAGTTTAATCTCTTTAATCATGACAGTTTGTGGAGCCTTCACATTCAGATGATGGTACAGTTTAGGACGGGAAACACCAAATTACTGACAGTTGCCAAGTAACCAACAGTTATTTCAGACGGGACAAGGCTGCAGGTGGCAAAGACTTGATTTTTGAGCCAAGACTCAAATAAGGGAGATAATTTTCATTTGTTAAAGCTTCCCCCGCTGAAATTTCAGCAAACTTTAAACCAAATTTCCAAGTGGAAATTCATTTCAGTGTACAAAGTAAATCCAAAATAAGTGAGGTCATTATAGATGTAAAAGAAGGCTCTGTCTTTTGCTATAAGGCAATAGGATTTTGAAGCAGCCGATACACATGCACAGCAGTCCATTTCAAAGAGTAGCTATGGTTTCTAGAGAGCGTTTAACATGTGCCACAGCTGGCATATTCATATCAGACATTACACACTCATTTGGCTCTGCAATGCAGCTAACCAAAGCGTAGCTCTGCAGAGCTACTCAGGCTTGAACAAAAGTTTTGGGCCTTGATTAGAACAAGTTTCTATTTTAAAAATAAACCAAGTGATTTCTTTCTGCATGCTCTCTCAATCCACAACACCAGTAGTAATTAGGTATCTCTGCTTCAAAGAGGATTGAAAAAAATTATTTCTCTCTCTCTCTCACTTCAGCAATGATTAACCTTGTGCTCTGTTAAGCCTACCTGTCTAAAGATAGCTGCATATGTGGGGCAGTTTTTATGCATATAAATAGGCTAGAACACAAACTCAATGACCAATTTTTATAAGGCTACAATTAAACAGTATCTACCAAGAACACAGCCTGGCTGCAGATAAAAGCATCAGAAACAAGTCAACTGATTTGGCCAAAAAGCATTATAACCTCACAGAAAGGCACAGGGAAGGAAAAAGAAAGCCATAATGCATGCTGTAACTTGCCAAATTTTAATCTAGATGCTATTAATATCCCACCGCTATATACACCTCATGCATATTGAATAATATGCTATACACCACAAAAGAGCCTTAAGGTATAGGAGCTTTCAAGCCTAATCTTATTTGTTTTGGTGAGGCTTTTCTGCTGTCACAGAAGGAAGATCTATGCCAATCTTGCCCCGCGGCGCGGCATTACTGAGCTCCTACAAAGCGACAGAGGCTGTTCTCTGGTTCTGCTGGATTGCTAGGATGGTGTCCCATTGCAACGGCTAGTCCAGTCTCACCTGGCAAAACGGGAGGGTATCAAATCTTCATCACATCCCACTTTCCCGCCAAGCCTACACTGCAGTTAAACATATACATGCACACTTACACCTACACATACATGTGCATACATGCAGATGTGTATACATGCATATATATGCACACAAAAATATACATTATATATACATAAAGTCATATTTATACAAAATACCTAAATTCACATCTACTTCCCTATAACTGTCAGCTTGCATGAAAAGTTTTCACAGCTCCTCATCGCTGAAGAGATTCAGAATAAGGCATGACCAGATTTAACCCAGAAACAAGGGGAAAATCCATCCCTCACCTACTCTTTTTTTTTATTTATTTTTTGAGGGCAAGGAGGGGAAGGGATGGAAGGGTCACATGGGTTCCTCTTCCTTTCCTGTAAGATCATCTTCAGTCAGCACAAAACAACCTAGCTCAAAAGCTATTCTAAAACAACACAATAAATTTCTCGCCTGCCTTCTCTCACCAAATAATGCATCTGTAAGTGATTCAGCACAGCAAATTACAGCAAGACATGCAAGTTCATTTCCAAGCAGATTGCCTGTTCACATCACACAAGGAAGCAACTACTTCCCGAGAACGAGGAAGATCAGATCTTTTTACTCCCAAGTATTTCTAGATTAACATATTTACAATACAACTCAATCTACAACTATGTATGCCTTTAAAGGCATTGAGAGAAGAGATGGTTACACAGCCTTTAATTATATATACAGGATCTAGGCTAGGTGAAATAAAACCATAAAGGCTCAAATTAGTCTGTTTTTTTTTTAATTAAAAAATATTTACATAAGAGCACACAGGGGTCCAACAATCCATCTTAATGGACTGGCTCAGGACAACACGCATGAGACCAGATCGCTACTTACTTTCAAATTTCTCATATTCCTGTACTTTCCAAAGACAAAGACCTGATGTGAACTTAGCTCATTAGCAGAATGTTTATCTTCTGATTTCAGCTCAAAGGTCAATTTTGTAACCTAAGCATCAGGAAGGTTTCCAATGGGGACACATCCAACGATGTCCATGACCCGATATCCTATCTTACCAGTTGTATTGCATGTGGTTATTTAGGAAGCAGTTCAGTTAGGCAGAGGTATTTCACAAAACTTAGTAAGAGCTAATCATCACTGTATGATGTGAATCTGACATCATCCACGCTTTATCTGGAGATATAATGCATTGAAGACAGCAAAACAGGATGGTATGCAGCACTCAATACTTTATTGCACTCATTTTTATACAGGCTATCAGTTATTTCCACACTTCTTTATTTACACAGAATCCAGATTCTGCCACTTTAATCATTCACTACTACTTAAATAATACTATCAGTGAATTGGCTGCTTTATCAGTTAAGCTGGTAACCCGGATAACAGAGGACACGAGCTTTTATCAATATTACCTTTGAGATGAAAGCCAGTTGCAAACAGATCCTACTACAGGTTAATCATCATTACCGATTCTCTCCTGCATCGCTCCTTATCGCGATGGCATAGTTCGCACGGCATTTTCTTCCCCATTCCTCTCAACACCTCTATCTCATCAGCTAACAGGAGGCAAAGATTCAGGTAAATATAAATGTTTGTAACACCTCCTGAAAGAGGAAGGTGGTATACTATGGTATTCAGAATACATCTTCGGATCAGGAGAAGACTGCTACTGCTTACTGTCTTCAAAATCATTTTGGAATGCAACACTATTAGATTCCTGCTTCTTTTTACAACTATCTTGAATACTTTTGTTTAAGTCACTTAAACCAGGAGCACATGGATTGGGTTAGTAGATTTAAAAACACTTTAGTAAGGCATAAAAAGCAATACTGCATTCTTCATAATGAAAGTCCATGCCTGAATTAAAAAACAATTCTTCCTCTCCATTCTCCACTCCTAACTGATGCACAGGAATGGGGAAGTTGATTAGGTAATTTATCTGCAGTCCTGGAGGAACCAAATTGGTTCCGGAACTCCAAGACAAAAGAAAAACAATCACGGAGCCATCTACCATCCAAGAATCAACAAACAGCAGTGATCAGTCACAACACTCAAAAGACAGACTCTCTGCTCACAGCAAGATGCAAAGCATTTGAAACTTATGTTATACTTAAGAGTCATTCAAGCAAGACCAGCTCTGTACTGGGAAGATCCAGGCAGCTTTAATACCTCTCCACATCTGAGGCACAGACACCAGACTGAGCTTGCTTTCCTAGGCTTCCAATCATACAAAATATTAATAGACCAAAAGTCATTTATTATGACAAGAAAGCTACAGCTTTCCTAGTACTCTTAGAAAAAAGTCCATGTGTAGGGTAAAGGCCAAATTTCACATCCTGACATGAAAGCATAACACTCATTCCAAAGTATTAATTTTTAATTATCAGATCACAGATATCCTAACCAATGCGGTGTCTGAGACACCTTTTATAAGAGCTTTTACTTTCTGAGAAATTCCTGTAAATATTGCTGTGAACCAAGTGCTTTTTTCCCCCAGCTCTGACAGTCTGACAGCTCTTTTCCCTCTGAACAGTCCGCATGCTTGCGACAACTACACTAGAAGATGGTGTTCTTGCACCACATTTGGTAAACAGCTATTAGCTACTTCTCTGCAAGTTAAAAACTTCACCTGTGAGATCCCCTAGAAGCCACTGAAATGAAAGACAAAGTAGTAACAATTCTTGCAGATGCTGTCTCAGAGACACTATAATTGCACATGCACAAACGTCCTTCTCCCTTTCTAATAAGGTAAACAAAAAACATCACACATTTGTTTCCAGCATTATCACAGACAGTCTTGCCTTGTTGACTGCAGCAAACAGCTTCTACTTACATATCCCGACAATAATGGAGGGCGTGTGTTCCAGTCGCAAGTAGAAGAGAAGATTGTAAAAATTGAAACCGATCAGAGAGAAGCATAAGATGACAGAGATCCATTCTTGTACTCTTTTTCCTGTTGAAAAGAAAGAGCATGTTTTACTTTTATCCGAGAGGACATTCTCAAGTGTGAATAATACAGAAAGACTGTTCTATTGCCTGGATGACTTATTCCATTGGTCTAACAGGGAAGTGAATCAGAAGCTTTTTTTTCCATGAGAGGTGTGCATATTTTGTCAAATGACATTCCTCCTCCCTGAGCCACTACTAACCCCTTCCCTCCTCGTTGCCAAACACAAGAGGCACAAAGCAGACATCTTCTCACGCTGTCCTAGTTTCCCTCTCCCAGTGGCTGCTGGCAGAAGGCTCCTCCACACCCAATTTTTTTCAAAACGTGCATTTCATTCAATACTCAGTGTTGCTGGTATGCCTGAATCTGCGAAAAAATTTCTAGCCTCAGATGCCTGTAGTTAAATCACCTTAAGATCAGTAATATTCAAAATCTCAGCACTTGTAAATAAAGCTGTCACGCTAACAGAAAAAAGCATTATCTAGTACGTTGGTGGCCCTGGAATTTCTTTTCTAGCATTGCAAATACATAAGAAGCTCAAGAACTGTAATATTTAACCCACAGCTTCTGTAGCCTTATCTTTGCCTTCCTGCTCCCAGGTAGAAGGCTACAATCTCTCAGGCACTCTGCTATGACAACAGACAGAAAAAGAAAAGAGAAAGAACCTGCACAAACTCTCTCTTGTACCTTGCTATACTGCTTTGCACCTCTCTAAAAAAATCGCATTTATTGCCTTTAAAAAAAACAACAGGCATGTCAGGATACTGTAACACTTTGATCAGTTAGATAGACAGGCTGAAGCTTTCTACTGCTAATCACTACTAGGTCCTCACAAGGCACTGAAGTCGAGAGCAAGTCCATATGGATTAAAGCAGCAGAAGTAGAACTTCAATGCCTACATCCAGGAATGAGATCTCAGCTGCCACCATGGCCCAGAAGGGCCTTGGTTGTAGTTAACTTTAACATGCTCAGAAGCTGTCAGGTCAGTTTACATCTGTTTTAAAGGGCCAACTTGCACAACTGCCCGTAAACACACTGCCTGTGGCTTACCACAGCAGTGAACTCCACCAGCCCATTCTCCACCTCCCTCATGCAGCATTACACACCTCCTCAAACTTGATTTTGAGGAGAAGTGGCATGCACGTGGACCATACGATAATGACTATACCTTAGGTGCACATCCTGTCACGTTACTGGAGGCATACGTTATGTCACGTTATGTCTAGCACGTGTTCAAGAGAGCAGCTTCTCTCCTACTACCCCTCTGTGTTGACCTCCTGTCTGGTCAAGTTTATTTCTAAATGCTAAATCCAGTCCTTCTGAACCGTACCATCAAAATAAAAGGGAACTAGGAACATCAAGGAGGATCAGTAAAATCTCCAACGTGCCTACAACGCAATCTTTTAAAGAAGTCAGAACAAAGATCTTTTACAGTTCTGAGTTTTGATCTAGAAAGACCATAAATACGTAAGTTAGCATCCTAGAATAGCAGAGAATCATAAAATTAAATTAAGACATAAGTATTTCAAGACAGCATAAGGTCATAATGTGGGAGACTCCATCCCTGGAGTAATGAAAGTTAGAGTTAATTAACATCCACCTCCTGCATAAGAAAACCACACCCTGATTAGAAGAGCTAAATGGGTAGATCCACATGGAACAATTAGCTGACTGCGAGGAGACACCACACTACTTATTAGCAGGTCCCCTGAGTTAGTTTGTACAAGTAGACTCTGACACTCTGAATACAAGGATCCCTGTAAGGTCTATCCAAGTCCAGAAACACAGTCCCAGCTTTGGCCAGACGGGCAAAACGAATCAGTCAAAGAAGTCAAAGTCAGTACTGATAACCTGTGTTTACAGAGCACTCAAATTTAAACATATGCCCCACATGAAAGAACAGATGCAAAATCACAAAGTATACGCTTTAAAAAATCATGGAAATACTCCAGAGCAACATTCACACACTGCACAAGTACATTGTAACCCGCATTCTTAAGAATTCAGGGGTTCGACATTACATGCTTCTGACATAGATGCATATCCTGATGTTGTTTATTTATGTAAATTACTTATGCAACACTAAAAAAAAAATTGCACATGTAACTTATTATCGTATCACGCTGCTGCTAGATATCACTATGCATATGCTACTTCACATAAATCTCAGGAACTTCCACCTACAACAAAAGATAAGGGTAGCAAGTTGCCTAGGTGAAAAATATTTTCCTTCTGAGCAAGGACACAGTGAACAGTGACTGCTTTTCTCTAATGCACAGGTTATCAGTCACTGTAGAACTGCATATCTAGAGCAACAGCCGAAAGACATCACACACCTTCTTTCCAGACAAGGGAAAGGTGACCAACACAAGCTGGAATGGGTACAGACTTGCCCAGTGTAGAATGAGAAATTAATGAACACATTTCATCATCTTATCATTATTTTGCTCTGTGTAAGTAAAAACACCTGCTCTTCCACTAATTGCCTTGAATCTGCAAGATAGGCTCTTTAGTTGACCTACTGGAAACTGCAAGCATACAGCACTGTCATGGAGGGCTCTAATACACGTCTTCCCTTTTCCAGGCCCTCACCCACAAGTGAATTCACTGGGAATGACAAACATACCTAGCACTACTCACACAATTACCTGGAAAGGGATTACATATTTCTGTTTGAAGAGTTTGCAGTTCCTTCCACAGCATAATGGGGTTTTTTCCCCCCCCATAGCGAAACTGAATAGGTGC